GCGCGCGGGCGTGGGGCCCTCGGAGGGTCCGGGCACCTGCCAGACCCCCGCCGCCAGTTATCGGAGGACTGCGGGACTTGCTAACCTCATCACCTGCCTGGAAGCTGCGAACTGATCGCGTTCTTGCCCCTCCCATGCGGAGAGCAAGAGGTGGGGTGTCGGTGGTGACGAGAGAGAGCGGCGAGCCCGTGTGGGCGCGGCCTGGGAGAGACTCCTGTTTTGTTTTTTAATGATCGTCTGGCTTTCTCCATCACTGTTTTGTCTTTTCTCAGTTTTGCTTTTATGAGACTGCAATTTCAAAGCTCATTTTTCCAGCCTCTCCCCTATCCTTGGGGGCGGGAAGCTGGATGACTGGGAGAGAAGGGAAGCGGAGGAGCTCACCAAATTCAACCTTTCAGTTCATTTAAGGCTGTTTAAGAAGCTTTTGGATCGATATGGTGGATTGGCATAAAAGAGCCATAGCAATCTTAAACTTGCATTCTTCACCACCACCACCGTAATTCAGAACTGGCTCTGTGATTTTTATGAGTGAGTGATTAGATTAAATAGCCAAGTTCAGTGACTCTTGGCCAGAACAACCTTCCTTTACTTTGTCAGAGGGTTCCTCCTCAGCAGAGCTTGGGCTGGGGACCAGGCTTGGGGAAGTGGTAGTATCTGCTCACTTTTCAGCTCCGAGGGTGGCAGCTCCCCTTTGCTGAGCAAGGCCTCACACCGTGCCCTCGCGCACACCTTGACGTTGTTCTGCCGTTCCTAATCGGTGCCACCCTTTACATTCTATTTGGAATGGAAAAATGGGGTTCATGCTAGGGCCTTTAGCCTTTGATCTCTGAAGATGACTTAAGAGAAGTGGATGACCTGGATCTAGCCTGTGCTGTGCTTTCCTAGGAGTCTCCTTTAAATAGGAGGCACTCTAAGCTTAGAAATCGTGTCCAGCAATCACTAACCACAAACCCCAAATAATGTGGTTATGCAAATTGAGAGTTACTTTTCTTACATAACAAGAGCAAAGGTGGAAGATCACCTGCTTTTGTTCAGCTGCACCCCCCACTCCCACCACCCCCCATCAGGGACCCAGGCTCCTTCTGCCTTTCTTCTCCACACCTTAGAGCTGTGACATTTGCCCCATGATTATAATATGATTGCCACAGCTCCAGACATCACTTCTGTATCCAAGGCAGGGAGAAGGGGGAATATGGACACCAATCTCTCTTTGTTCCCTATCAAGAAAGCAAAGCAAAAGTTTTCCCAGAAATCCTCTTCCCAGTTTGAGACCAGCCTGGCCAACATGGTGAAAAGTATTCATAGGTCGTCTAACTTCTCCATTTGACAGATGAGGAAACTGAGGCACAAAGAAGTTAAAGGACTTACCGAAGGTCCCCTGCTGATAAGCGATGGGACCTGGATACCCCCCCAGGCAATCAGAGTGCCAGCTCATGCTCACTTCAGATTTCTTTTGCCAAACCCCTTTGAGCTTCATGCAGAGGGCGTTCTCTAGAAATTCACTTATTCAATAGTGCAGGCTGCACGCCTGGATAGTTTCAGCTTTTCTGTGAATTTGTAAGTTGCCTTAAGACAGAGAGAGAGCAGAGATGCAGCTTTTCAATAGGGAACCTCAGGGGGCAAATGTAGTCAATCCAAAAGAGGAAACTTTTTTTTGTCTTGCCAAGAATGTGGTGCCCTCAAAAGCTAGGGCCAGATTTTAGACCCACAGTGGAAGGGTCTGTCCCTACCTGCATATGTCAGAATTTTGAGCTGGAAAGACCAGAAGTGATGTGGTTGTGTCCCTCTTGATTCCCCTGCAGCTTCCAGACCACGTCTCTTCCACCCCCCATAAAACCTTTGCTCTCTGAAGGTTCTTATCACTCTCTTGACCACTTCCCCTTTGACATGTCTCCTGATCTCCCAGCCAAGTTCTCTCATTTCTTTTCTTTTCTTTTCTTTTCTTTTCTTTTTTTTTTTTTTTTTGAGACGGAGTCTCACTCTTGTTGCCCAGGCTGGAGTGCAATGGCACGATCTCGGCTCACTGCAACCTCTGCCTCCTGGGTTCAAGCAATTCTGCTTCAGCCTCCTGAGTAACTGGGATTACAGGCATGTGCTACCACGCCCAGCTAATTTTTGTACTTTTAGTAAAGACGGGGTTTCATCATGTTGGCCAGGCTGGTCTCAAACTCCTGACCTCAGGTGATCTGCCCGCTTCAGCCTCCCAAAGTGCTGGGATTACGGGCGTGAGCCACCGCTCCCGGCCATTTCTTTTCTTTTCTTTTTTTTTGGGGGGGGTAGGAGGGGGACAGAGTCTTGCTCCCTCGTGCGGAGTGCAATGGTGCAGTCTTGGCTTACTGCACCTCCACCTCCCGGGTTCAAGGGATTCTTCTGCCTCAGCCTCCCAAGTAGCTGGGACTATAGGCATGTGCCACCACACCCAGCTAATTTTTTGTATTTTTAGTAAGCTTCACCATGTTGGCCAGGCTGGTCTTGAACTCCTGACCTCAAGTGATATGCTCGCCTGAGCCTCCAAAAGTACTGGGATTACAGGTGTGAGCCACTGTGCTCAGCCATTCTTTTCTTTATTCATCTGTTTTTGTTTTTGTTTTTTAAGAGACAGGGTCTCAGCCAGGCAGGGTGGCTCATACCTGTAATCCCAGCACTTTGGGAGGCCAAGGCAGGTGGATCATGAGTTCAGGAGATCGAGACCATCCTGGCCAATGTGGTGAAACCCCGTCTCTAACAAAAATTAAGTGGGCGCGGTGGCAGGTGCCTGTAATCTCAGCTACTCGGGAGGCTGAGGCAGGAGAATAGCTTGAACCAGGTTCAAGCTTGGAGGTTGCAGTGAGCTGAGATCTTGCCACTGCACTCCAGCCTGGTGAAGCGAGACTCGTCTCAAAAAAAAGAAAAAAAGAGAGAGAGACAGGGTCTCACTCTGTCACCCAGGCTGGAGTGGAGTGGAGTTATAGCTCAGTGCAGCTTCAACCTCCTGGGCTGAAGCAGTCCTCCTGCCTCAGCCTCCCAGGTAACTGGGACTACAGGTACGTACTACTACACCTGGCTACTTTTGTTTCAGAATTCTTCGTAGAGACAGGATCTCACTATGTTGCCCAGGCGGGTCTTGAACTCCTGGCCTCGAATGATCCTCCCGCCTTGGCCTCCTAAAGTGCTGGGATTATAGGCACGAGCCACCGTGTGCCTAGCCAGGTTCTCTCACTTCTTAAGGACTTTGGCATTTCTTCGGACTGTGGCTTGAGTCTTCCTCTTGCCCCTAAGCCCTGCCCCATCCTGTGAGATGACATGCGGGCCCCTCACCTTCACAACCTCTGCTGCACACATGCCTGGGTTCTTGTCAGCACTCAGGACTGCTCCTCTTCCCACATCTCCAATCACTGCCTCCACCTCCAAGCATACTCTCTCCCTGGGGAGATCTCCTTCCTCCAGGATCCTAGCTCTCCTCTCTTCCAGTCTCTCAGCCCCTTCCTTTCTTCTCTTCCTTCAGTATCCAGTGTTGAGACGTTGGCCACCATTTCAGCAACCGTCTCGCCAAGCAATCCAAATTTCCTTGTCCTTCTGTCTCTTCATGGGAGCTGCCTGGCAGAACCTCAGCCTGGATGAATCTGCTGTCCCCTCTCTCTCGTGCCTGCAGCTGAACATCAGATGCTGCTGTAGAAGCGGCACATAGGAGGCTCGCTGAGACCACTGTCAGTCCCACAGTCACTAGTTCACCAAGGCTCTCAGAGCTGGCTGGAGTTTCTCTGGTCAGCTCTTCACAGTGAAAATTTTAGACTCTCTCTATGTGGCATGGGTCTCTGACTCCTCCCCTTCCACCTGGACTCCTTCTCCACAGAAATGGAAGCTCTAAACTGATCCCTCCATGTCACACTTCCAAACCCACCTCCACATGCAGTGACCTCAAACCTGTCCCTGTCATGGCTTTGTCAGTTCCCTCCCACCA